AATAAATATGGTAATAATAAAACAATTTCTAATCCCTATCTAAATAAACTAGTTCATATATTACCTATTAATGTCTATGTTTCACGTAGTTACTATACGTGTGTCTCTGTGTGTCTGCGTGTGTGTGTGTGCGTGCGTGTGTACACTGTACGTGTCTGTGTATGGAGAATTTCATTGATCTCTCATAGCGTTACTCGGGGTATCTAGCGAAATATTAGATCAGATAAAAACTACTGCTTCGTCAGCTGGACGTATTTTCGATCTCGTAATCAACGTTTCCGTGGATAAATACTCTGTGCCATTTCCGGTCCGACGTTCAATTAAAATCGGATTTACATAGAATCGAACGCATAATCGTTCGAGTCCCAACGAACTGGTTGAGTCGTCACAGAGATTATGGCTAAACCTAACGAGAGTAATTCTCGTCGGAGCTTTAATCGAACTATGTCTCAAACATCTTTGACGTTTCAGCTATAATTGTATATAGCCAAATATGTTAATTATTATTTATCCGTGTTATCTCGCTCGTCGCACGTTGTACTCTACCGTCTTACGATTGCTTTTCTCATTTCGCTTGTTCATCGAAATACCTCTCGGATCGTTTTCTCTTTAGTTAAAGAATAAGTTTTTAACTACTCACGCTAAAGCTATAACTACGAAGTCGAGCCAATTCCATGCATCTCTAAGATAGGTAAAAGGCTGCAGAATGAAACCCCTCGCCATCACCTTAACGGCGGACTCAAATGTGTAGATGCCCGTAAATATCACTCTGAAAACAACAAACGCACCACTCAGCTTTTTAAAATCCGTCGTACGCACACGCAGTACCAATTATTTTCTACTACACAGTCACACCGACACGTCGCATCAAACGACTCCCCTATTTAAAAAAAGAACAACAAAAATCAAAAAGGGGTGGTTACGGTCGTTTATACGAGATAGTACAATTGATTAGGAATTGTCCAATCAACGCGATACGAACATTCCTCCCTTTCACGTTTCTATCCTCTACTTCTAGACAGACTAGAACAAAACTTACCAACGGTTATATAATAAGAGCTATAACACGTAGAACATCGCTTGAAATGTCTATGTACTCGTATCTGTGTGCTCGCCGTAAGCCTTTCGATGAATTTTTATTCGAAATAAA